TTTCTGGGAATTTATCTTTACTTGCATAAATTTTAACCTGTTTTTAATCCGTGTTTTTATTCATGTATTCAGATGTTTCTTTATGATGTTATAAATCACCCAGAGTCACAAGTGAGATAGGTGGTGTAGAAATTTCATAAATAAATTCCAGATCCATTCGCCCAGGTGACTGTCCTATAGAGCAGTGTAGTTCTCGACCTTGGCAATTTGAAGATGTGTGGATTCCAACTCCCAGAATTCCCCAGCCAGCAAGATGTCTACAGATCTTCCAGCTGCCACGGCTGAGAAACACTGTTGTAGGGCAAAGTTACCCCAGTGCTAGATCTCTCTGCTTGGAAGTTCATATTACAGATTATATTGATGGAAAGGAAGAAGGTCTGGAAGTTAAGGATGGACCATAAGGTCTTCTGGGATCTCCGCAATGAGCAAGCTAAGCAATGGCATATCTTTTGCCTCTCTTCTAGAATTTTTGATAGAGAAAGCATGAATCTGTGGGATTCTGTTCCTAACTCAAGATTATCACCCTATCAAACCTCTGCAGAGCAAGCATAATGCACCCCAAGCGTTAAGCTTCAGTGTATGATGACCCTCACAAAATAGTTACAGATGATGAGGGTGGTTTTTTTTTTTCATCAAGCAGGAAGAGAGAAGCAGCAGTAGCAGCAAGCTGCAGTCATAAAACTCAGAGCTTGCAGCAGACGATCAGTCAACTTGCTGTCTTGCTTTGAACCAATTAAAGATTGGTGAGGTTTATCAGACTGTGTAAAGGGAGGCCCTGAGTATCATTTGCAAAGGGCACCTTGCTCAGACACCTGAAGTCCTGGATAGATTAGTGTCTCTTCAACGAGCTTCCTTAGCTCAGAGAAAATGCTAAGAGTTGCAAGCAAGTGTGATAGAAATAGCAGCATTCGTTTAATGATGGCAATTGGGACTGAGAATCCCATCGCCAAATGACGCAGTCATAAAACGCAATGCCACAGGACCGTGCCAACTTGCGGCGGCAGTTCTGGCCGTTGCGATTGTGGTTGTTAAGCACAACGTCACGTAACCGTCATTTGCAACCTCCTGCTAGCTTCCTCACTTGCCTTCGCTCCTTAGAAGTCATCAACAAAAGACACCAAAGGCAACTGCAGATTTCCCAATTACTTGTATAGGGATTATTCTCTATACTATTTACACATTGTTTTGTACTTTCTGTTACGGATTGCACCAGAAACGCTAAACCAATTTCGTTGTATATATGACGTACAATGACAATAAAGGCTGTATTACTGTGGGACGCTGCGACAGTTGTTTGTTATTACACGCTGGTGGTGTCGTGCCCAAATCATCCCATAACTGTGAGGATACTGCAACGGCCACAATTTTGAGGACTGGCTGCAATTCTCCTCTTTCAACACTGTTGTAACTTTGAACGGCCGCTGAATAAACGGTTGTTAACGGATGATTACCTGTAGTTGAATGTCATTTGTGGGCAGCAGGATAAATGCAGCAGAGAATTCAAGAGCGTTTAGATTTTACAAGAAAAATGAAAGGGGGAAGCCTACTGAGACTCAGGCACCATATATGTTTTATCATCAATGGCCCTGCTTATGGGGAGCCTTTCCAACAACCTCATGTGTCCTCTTGCAAAGTCAAACTCTTGTAGCTTTCTTCCACCTCTCTCTAGTCCTGGTGATTTTCTATTATTCTTCACTGCAAGTAAATCTCACAATTCCCCCCCTTCTCTGTTAGAAAAGCCACTATACAGGTAGTCCTAAACTTACAACCACAATTTATGTTGCTAAGTGAAACATTGGTTAAGTGAGTTTTGCCCCACTTTATGACCTTTCTTGCCACGGTTAAGTGAATCACTGCAGTTGTTAAGTTAATAACACGGTTGTGAAGTGAATCCGGCTTCCCCGTTGACATTGTCAGAAGGTCGCAAAAGGGAATCATATGATCCTGAGACACTACAACTGTGGTAAATATATGCAGTTGCCTGAATTTTGAACTTGTGGCCATGGGGATGTTGCAAAGGACGGAAGTGTGAAAAATGGTCATAAGTCAGGTTTTTTAGGCCATTGTAACTTCAAATGGTCACTAAGTGAACTGCTGAAAGTCAAGGACTGCCTGTACTACTCCAGCTACGTTGCTATCCATTAAAAACCAGGGAAATAGCTCTATGGTATTCTGAATCTCACAAACATTGGCAGTTGTGGTGGCAGCAGCCTTCTTTGCAACATGCTCCCTGGGTGAGCTGACCCCTAATGGTGCTGAACTATTTCCCAAGGGTAGGAAGAACAGAGCATGCCTCATTGGCAGCTCTCTCCCACAAAATTTAAAAAAAATAAAAATAGGGTCAAGCTATAACCAGAGGCTATTAAATCAAAACAGCTGCTCTCCAAACTCAAGTCCCGAAGGCCAACTTTTGCATAGAGGGACTTGCAAAGAAGTTACGTATGTGTAACACAAAAGGATAGACAGACACATATGGTACTTCTATACCAAGCTTAGCAAACTATGCTTTCAGAATACCTGGCCAATCAGATATTGTAGGATAGCCATGGTGGCAAAAAAAATCAGGAATCTGCAGCAACTTTTCCAATTCACAACTTTTATCTTTCATGAGCTGAGGCTGGCTTCATCAGATGTAAAGAGTGGCTAAGCATCAGTTTATTAAAGCTCATATCTTTTATAAGATATAAAAAGCTTATATCTTTTAATAACATTTGTCAAACCAGAAGAGGATACCAGACTCCTGATTTTGGGGGGGAATTCGAGTGAGCTGTGTTACACAAAATGTTTCTGAATATAGTTTTTTTACAAACCTATGTGTTTAACTTCTGGATGCCAATACAAGAACTTTGGAGAGAATCCAACCCATTGCTTGGGAACTATTGCTACAAAGAATATCTCAGCAATGTAAACCATGCAGCTAAAGCAAGCACCACCGATCTGTTTGAGTTTTTAGTCTACCACGGAAAGCAATTCCTAGAAAGGAGACCTTCACCCAGCTCAGGCCCGTGCACAGATTGCACCTATCTGGCGGAAGTAAACAGTGTTCTTATCATCACAAGATTAGACAATGTAATTTACATAGGCTGCCCTTGGAAGAAAATTCAGAAACTGCAATTAATGCAAATCACTACAGCATGCATGCTGGTGAGTAGTACTACCGCAAGGATATTGTATTTTGGGCACGGCACTGGCTTCCCATAGTTTTCCAGTGATGACTTTAGTCTAAAAAGACTTTTATTGTTTGCTTAGTTCACATTTTAGGATTGCCTCCTCCAAACTGCCCTATCCAGAGCATTTCATTCAGGATAGGGATATTTACCCATCTTCCATAAATTTAAAAGGGTTGGTAGCCCTGAGATAGGGACTTTTTAGAGTAGCCAACACACTGTAGAAGGACCTGCTCTGAGAGACCCAACTGGCAAACTTTTGGAAGGCAGTACACAAGTAGTCCTCGACTTACCATATAACAGTTCATTTAGTGACCAAAGTTACAACAGCACTGAAAAAAGTGACTTATGATCATTTTTCACACTACTATGCAGCATCCCCATAGTCATGTGATCAAAATTTGGATGCTTGGCAACTGGTTCATATTTATGACAGTTGCAGTGTCCCAGTGTCACGTCATCCCCTTTTACGACCTTCTGACAAGCAAAGTGAATGGGAAAGACAGGTTCACTTAACCGTGTTACTAACTTAACAACTGCAGTGGAAATTCACTTAACAACTGTGGCAAGGAAGGTTGTAAAATGGGGCAAAATTCACTTAACAAATGTTCCATTTAGCAAAATAAATTTTGTCAATTGCGGTCGTAAATTGAGGATTACCTGTAAAACCAAACTCTGCTGGGAAGTCTCTGAATTATAATTTCCTAGTACATAGACTAAGGCTGACATTTATGCTATTAACCTTATGTTTGAATTGGATGTATTGAATTTTTAGGCTCATTTGTACTATTTATAGTTACAAGTTAGTTCAACAAGACAGTCATAAAATTAATAAATCAAGTCCAATAAAAAGCAATAATTTTAAAACAATGTAAAATTGCGCTGGTTTGAAATGCTAAACAAACGCACGTTTTCAGTCCTCTCATTTCCTTGTATTATTTTCCAGTTATCACTGGAAAAGCTAGATTTTATTTATTCAGGATGTATCAAATAGATAGCATTGGAAAGTAAAACTGGAAAAAGTTGAGGGCAATCACCCTTCCATGATCAAACCACAAGACTTCTGGTCCAGGAAACACTGTTTTTAAGAAGAGATAAACATGGCAGCAGAAAAAAACATTTCTATTTTCAAATTTTAATTTGGAACATGGATAACCTCATATTTCGTGAACTTTAGCAGCATTAGGGAACTGCATGCATGCAACCCAAGGGAGATGCAGCATGTAGAGCCAGTATGCTGTAGTAGTTAAGATACTGGCCTAGAGACAGTTTGTTCTAGTCTCGCCTTAGGCATGAAAGCTGGCTGGGTATCTTAGGCCAGTCACTTTCTCTCAGCTTAACCCACCTCATAGGGTTGTTGTTGTTGTGAAAACAGAAGGAGGGGGGTATTATATATATTTGCCACCTTGAGTTATTTATAAAAAATTAGATGGAATAAATATCAAGAGTAAATAAATTAAATATTTAGTTGTTCTTGGAATGCTAGTCAATAATGTCTTCTGGCATCCCTATCTTATTCATAATCTTTCCTCCCATTTTAGACACTCATAAGATGTCACTGACAGATGTTAATATTTAACATCACTCAGAAATCTTTCTGAACAAAACAAAAATCTAAAACCAACAACCACAAACTAATAATTGCTTCCACCCAACCCCTATCTCTAATAACTATTTCATAGGGGGCCCCCACTGAATATCTATGCAATGTTCTCTGGCAGCAGCTTTTTCTCTCCTTCACATTTCACCTTTGCAGGTACAAATGTTACTTTGCAAATGTAACATGTAAAGAAATCCTCAGCAAGTATTTGTTAAGTACACGCAAACACTTACTTTTTAACATTAGCTTCTCCATTGGGGATCCGTCGCAGTTTCTTCTTCTTAAGGATTTTGACAGCTCTCCTACAGAGAGTTTCAGAGTCCAGCATCTCTTTGACCTTGCCGTAAGACCCTTCCCCAAGCAGGTCCCCCATCAGATATTTGCCTATGAGTTTGGCCCTTTTCCGCCGTGGCTGGTAGATCACTTCTGTAGAGTCAATCCGGTGGATGAATGTGTCCATGCCCACTGACATCAATTCACCTTCCACAAACATGCCCAACTGCTGAGGCTCCTCTAGATCCATCTTGGTTTTTTTCCCCTAAGCAAAAATGTGTTATAAATCCAGTTCCTGATATATCCAATACTTTTTTGTGCCCAAAATCTTTTGACTGGAAAAAAAAAAGTTTCGGTGGAGGCAAATAAGAATTTTCCAAAAGACTGTACAGTTTTAACTTAAAATGAAAAATAAAAACTTATGAGAACTTTTCCATCAACTTAGAGGGATCCTACAGAGATCCAGCACATTCCAATTTACAGTGCCTCTTTTAAAAGAGCATGCAGAGGGGGGGAGAAATCAATGCAGCTGTTTGCTCAATTTACACTTAGCTTTAACTTTTTGATCTTGTCCTGCTATTCCCAGTATTTGAAATCAGTTTGTCTTCCTTAGTAAGTCCAAACTATTTTTTTTCCTTGAGACCTAAGTCATCTTCAAAAGACTGTCCATGTTTGAAATCAAAATATCAGAATTGCTATTTTTTAGGGGTGTGCCATTGCTGAGCAAGAAACGACAGCTCCTGTTTCCGAAGTGTGGTGTGGAAAATCGAGACACGACTTCTGCTCTCACCACCAAGGTACAACTTGTGTGAAGGATCCTTTCAGCCGTTGGGAAGCTGAAACCAAGTCTCTTTAAAGGAATTTTCAATACTGATTTTAACTGCTTCTTTTTCACCCTTGACAAAGGTTCTAGGCCTTCTGTATCTAGTAAGGGGCATCCTTCAACCACCTGGGGTCTACCTGACACATGATGTGTCACCCCACTGCTTCAGGTATCAAGGCAGGCAGGCAGGCAGTGCAAACCTTACTCAGTTTTCCCAGAACTACGGACCCACCATAAAGGGGGCTGGATGTGATTAAGATATCTTGAACAACACTTCTTCAGATTAAGTAAGTTCCCTGGAAAAGGGAAAGAACTTCTAAGTTTTTTTTTTTAATTTGGCAAAAATCTATACTTTAAAACCATCAATTCAGAAATCTAACTTCAGTAAGCACACTTCAAATTATTTATTAATACCTGGTTCTGGCCTTTCTTGCTGTTGGAAATAATAAGCTCCCCCTGTCACACACACACACACACACACACACACTTTTTAAGCTAAATATTAAAAAATGACCTCAATAGGCCTATCAAGAAGGCTATTCCTAGGTAACAATAAAAAGAAACCAGCTCCTACTCTTAACAGCTAGATTGTTCCCATAAATTCAGAAAGCAAGGCACATGTCAAACATGTGTGGAAAATGTAAGTAAATCGACCCTATCTTCTTTCTTGAATAAGGCTTTTTTCAGTGTCTTGTTACCCCCGCCAATCAGATCAATATTAATACGAAAAGATGCCCTTAAACAGGGCTTACCTTTCCCCAAATTTAAGGCAGTGAGATATCTCTTTTTGCCATAACCCAACTTAGCAGGAAATATAACTGCCCTCTAAAAAAAAAATAACAATTCAATTAACAATTGAGTGGATGCTGTGGAAATCAGCAAAGTTCCTTACATCCAAAATGCACACTGAACTCTAAAGACCTCCTCCAAAGGAGAATAGTTTAAAAAAAAAAAACACCTGAGAAAATTTATAATACTTTTATCTGCTTGCAAAAGAGAGGTCCTCCATTGAAGGAATTCTTAAAACTGAACATGTAAAAATAACAATTCGGTGCTTTTTAAACAAAAAACAAAAAAAGATCACTCATTGCTATCCATCCCATTCAGAAAAGAAAGCAAGTTAAGCAAGGGGCTTTTTCGTTATAGTTTTCTATTTCCAGGGAAAGGTTTGTCTCATTCAAGAAGGGTCATTAATAGGCATCTCCCACAAAAAAAAAGAGGGGAATAATTGCAGATTTCCTCCCCTCCCTGCACACACACACACACACACACACACACAAGTGCCTACAACATATGAAATTGGAGGGCGAGTGAAAATATTTCCTGGCTAAGAAGGGTCTCTTTTTCCTCAAATTAAGGGGGCTCAATTTACAGACCACCCAAAAAAATCCCTTCTTTTACCTCAGCACACACATATACATACCGCCCACCTTTCCCAAATAACCCCCCCCGACCTCCCTGTCACTCACTCGCCTCAACGACACGACAAGCTTCTCCCCAATGTGGGGGTCTTCCCTAAAGGCTCCCCCTCACACACAACACACTTCAAGAAAGAGAAGGCCGCGACGTCTCACTCATCTGAGAGACAAGACAAGACAAGGCAGGCAGAGCCGGGAAAGGGAGCCGCTCTTCTCGTAGGCTTCCCCTCCAACGAGCCTACGGAGGAAAAGGGGTCGCCTCCCCACCTAGGTGCAGCGTTGGGGGTGGGGTGGGCTGTTTGCTCCCCTTCCGACCCCCAACGTCAAACCAACGTCGCCCTCTCCTTGCCTTCCAGCCGCCGCAGCTAACACGCCGCCGCCATTTTGTTTACCTCCCCCCCTCTTGCCCCCCGCGCCCTCATTGACGCTCAACCGGCTCCTCCCTCGCGCATGCGCGCGCGACCAAAAAAAAAAAAAAAGATGGAGCGGCGTCTCCTTCCCCTCGCCGCTCGTTGTTCTTTTTTTTTTTTTCCACCCGGCCTTCGCCTCCCTCCTTCTCTGATTGGCTCGAAGGGGTCCTCTGAGGCGGTTCCCCTCGTCCGGAGGAGAGGGCGGTGACTGGAAGAAGGCGGGAAGGGGCGGGACTTGATCGAGAGAGGCGGAGCGCAGGGGGAAAATACCGGTCGGGAGGTGGGGTTGGAATGCAGTAATGGAGGGGGTTGTCATGGCGACGGAGGAGGCCGCCGCGCCGGAGATGCCTTCTCCAACCTTGTGCCCTCGGGATTAATCCTGTGTCCAGTAGGATTAGCAATATGGCGTCTGGGCGATCAATTCGTGTGGATGGCAGTGTCATAAAGACAGGAGCACTGTGTTCACACTACTAGTTGAATCATAGTTTATCAAACTAACCACCATTAATTGGGTTCACACAGTGCACTAAACCTAAGCCAAAGCCAAACCACCATCTTTATGGCTCAATGTGTTGCAGCGGTATCCCAATTGAGATGGGGAAAAAAAACATTGTTCACACATCATGCTAAGTCTGGGAATCCTTAACTGCAGTTTATGGAAACAATGACACTTAACTGTGTTTGTATGATACACTAAAAGTAGCCATGTCCAACCTTAGCCCCTTTGAGACTTCTGTACTTCAACTCCCAGAATTCCCCAGCCAGCTTGATGGGCTGGGGAATTCTGGGAGTTGAAGTTCTCAACACTTAAAAGTGGCCAAAGTTGGACACCCCTGCACTAAACCATGAATGGTGGCTTCCCAAAGCCAGTGGTTGAAGTCACACAAAAGGCTGAACAAAATCTGGATTATGCTAAGTGTTCACAAAAGGAGAGAGCACACTTACATTCGTATTTTATTTATTCATTTATTTTGGAAAAGTTAGGGAGCCGCCCATCTCACATAGAGGGCATGACTCAGAGTGATGTCATGGTTGTAAAGCAAACACCTCAGTTGTTAAACAAAACTGGTCATAAATCAAGAACTGCCTGTAATCCTCAAGCCTAGCCTTTCATTTATTCTGTATACTTATGCAAGTGCCGAAAAAGTTGTGCGGAAATGTCGCAGGTGTGTGCGCTCATCAAGGTCGCACTCCGGAAAAGCCGAACTTCTGAGTTCTAGTGCGCATGTGTGCTTGACAATCAGCTGGCCGGTGCACATGCGCAGGCCTGTTTTCAGCACTGCCACGTACACGAAGGGATCGTACTCCGGAAAAGCCGAACTTCTGGGTTCTGGCATGCATGCGTGCCCGACAATCAGTTGGCCAGGGTGCATGCGCACACTGGTTTTCTGCACTGCCACACACGCGAAGGACAGCTGATCGTCACGTGCGCACCAGAAACACGGAAGACAAACAGGCAAGGCCGCGTGTGCCGGGCGACATGGCTTTGGGTGCCACTTTGGCCATGTGTGCCATAGGTTCGCCATCATGGGTCTAGCTTGTGAGGATAGTTTATGGTTCAGTGACTTGCAACACCACTAGAATTAGTGGGAGCCAGGCAGTATCCAAATGCAATAAATTAAATAAAAATAAGCAACATAAAAACTGGGCTTATTGTTAAACGTGATTATGCAAACATGATTGTATTCACTATGAGCAAGAGTGATGTTCAGACAACTCATGCTCAGGGGTGAAATGCTCCCGGTTTGGACCGGATTGTCCGATCCGGTAGTGATGGAGGCGGGTGGTTCGGAGAACCGGTAGCAAAAATCCCTGCCCCATTCCCCTCCCCGTGCCCATCTGAGCCCAGAGGTTTTTTTTTTTTTACTTTTAAAAGCATTTTTTCTACAACCTCTTCGGCCGAAAAAAACCCCTTTTTTTTCTTTTAAATGCCTCTGACGATCCCAGCTGAATTGCCTGATCGGCAGAGGCTTTTTTAAAAAGCCTCTGCCGATCAGGCAACTCAGCTGGGATCGTCAGAGGCTTTTGAAAGCATTTTTTTACAATCTCTTCGCCGAAGAGGTTGTAGAAAAAATGGTTTTAAAAGTAAAAAATAAAATAAAATTGGCCACGCCCACCCTGTCACATTACCCCACCACCACCAAGCCACGCCCACAGAACCGGTAGTAACAAATTTTAGATTTCACCACTGCTCATGCTTTATTGCTTGTGTGAAACCGAGCACTGAAATCTGTATGACGTAAGTACATTGTGATTAAGTTTAACCATGAGTTTGACTAATTCCTGGAAACATAATTTACTTGATTTCAATTACTTTTCAGATAATTAAGGATGGATGCACCCTTATCTACAGTACCTATCACCTATCCCCTGGTGCTGCCAATATCAATTATCCACACTTTCTCCTTTTCAATTAATTATATCTGGTGTATTATCTGGTGGCATTTAAATTTGGAAATTTCATAATATTTTAAGCTGCTCATTCTCGACTACTTTTTAAACACTTACCAATTTTTCATTATTGGCACATGATAGTTTTTTCACAGATGTTCCAGTAAATCATTTTGGCAACTATGTACTCGTTGTTTAGAATCACTTTGTGCAATCTTCTTGCACAAGCTGAAATACTGTTTCTTCTGCTTCTTTGCACAATCTGCACTTTGAATCATTTGACTTTTTTCCCCCCAGTTCTGGCTTTGATGGCATTAATTCGAACAGCTTAGTCTTGCACAACCAATATCAAGCATTCAGTTTCCTTTTTTTTTTATTCCAGTTGTAAACCATTGCCTTACAATTTTGTATTTTTTAATGATTAAAAATCATTATTGCGATTTGTCACAGTCAGGCAAATGTTTAGGACGGATTTGGCATTTTTATGCATCTATCAAATCTTAGCCAAGGACCTGAGATAGCCAGATGTTGTATGATGGTCTTAAAGTTCCTGTTGCAGGATGTCAGCAATTGACTGATGGGGATTTTGTCAATGTCGATAGTGTTTGAGTGGTGTTCCTGTTGCTTTGGGATTACATCCAAACTGCCTATTACTATTGGTACAGGTAGTCCTTGACCTACAACCATAATTGAGCTTAAAATTGATGTTGCTCAATGAGAAATTTGTTAAGTGAGCTTTGTCCCATTTTACAACCTTCCTTGCCACAGTTGCTGAGTGAATCACTTCAGTTGATAAATTAGTAACACAGTTGTTAAGTACATCTAGTTTTCCCATTGACTTTGCTTGTCAGAAGGTCGTAAAAGGGGATCACATGATCCCAGGACATTACAACCGTCATAAAGGTGAGTCAGCTGCCAAGCATCCGAATATAAATCATGTGACTATGGGGATGCTGCAATGGTCATAAGTGTGAAAAATGGCCATAAATCACATTTTTCATGCCAGTGTAACTTCGAAAGGTCACTTAATGAACTGTACTGTCTTTGCTTTCTTTTATCATAGTCATTCTATTTGCAGGTCTTTGTATATTATGAATTTCCTCAGTTCTTCCTCTTCTCTTCTGCTGTCTCCTTGCACTGCCACATCCACTATTCAGAGTTTTACCATTTTTTAAGCCTGGGGTGTTATGTGACTGGTGCTTGTCTATTTGAATTCTAAAGTCCCAGAGCCATTTAACTTATTTATTTTCCATTATTTTGTCTATTTTGTGGACCTACCAGTTCTTGCTGACAGATAAATAGTATTTTTTTTTTTGCAGATCTTTGGTCACCACATTACAAAAAAAGATGTTGAGACTTTGAACAAAGTGCAAAGAAGAGCAACTATGATGATTAAAGGCCTGGAGACTAAAACATATGAAGAATGGTTGCAGGATTTCGGTTTGGCTAGTCTAGAGAAAAGAAGGACTAGGGGAATATGATATTCCAGTATTTGAGAGGCTGCCACAAAGAGGAAAGGGTCAACTTGTTTTCCAAAGCATCAGAAGGCAGGAGAAGAAAGAATGGATGGAAATTTATCAAGGAGAGAAGCAACTTTGAATTAAGGAGAAACTTCCTTAACAATGAGGACAATTAACAGTGGAACAGTTTGCCTCCAGAAGTTGTGGGTGCTTCATCACTGGAGAAGAGACTGGACAGTTATTTATCTAACATGGTATAGGTTCTCCTGCTTGAGCAGGGGGCTGGACTAGAAGACCTCCAAGGTCCCTTCCAGCTCTATTCTGATTCTAATAGTATCTGCAATACCGGTAGTCCTCGACTTACAACAGTTCATTTAGTGACTGCTCGAAGTTGCAACGGCACTGAAAAAAAGTGACTTATGACCATTTTTCCCACTTATGACTGTTGCGGCATCCACGTGGTCACATAATTTACATTGGGATGCTTGACGACTGACTCACATTTATGACGGTTGCAGTGTCCCAGAGTCATGCGGTCCCCCTTTTTTTTTTTACACTTCTTTCTCTTTTTTTATAATCAAACATACAAACAATACATAATCAATCATTGAATATATCATCTAATACATCTTTTATATCTTCTTCTTCTTACTTCTCTATTAATACATTTGCCTTTCTTTTTATTAAAAATCATAAAACAATTTTATCCCCAGCACCCCTCAACCCCCCTTCAGCCCCTCCCCCCGACTTCCCAGGGCAAAAACAGGATATAACATTTAGCAAACCTAAGCTAACATATAGTAACTTACTATTAAATTCAAAAGTCCCTCCCACTCTTTAACTCCCCTTTTAAAATTCTTCAATATTCAATAACATCAAACATAAACATTTAATTATATATACCTTTTAAAAGTTCTATAATCTCACGTTAAACATTTTAAAATATCTTAATACTTCCTCATGTTTCAGTAAAACATTCTTCATGATCTAAATTTCCAGACCTTTTAAAAAAAAACCTATCCATTAAGTTTTAGGTTAACCACTTTAAAACTGCAATACATTTCAAAAAGCTATCCAACTTTAATTAAACCTTGTTTCAATAAAGCATTGTTCAAAGATAACCCTAAAAGTATTACATAGATTCCAAAACTTTC